CTGTACTTGAAGAGGTATCTCGGTGGTGAAGCTCGTAAGGCAGTGGAAGGTTTTCTATCGAAATTCAGAAGACGCTTATCTAGGTTCTTGGGGAATCCTGCAGGACAGGTAGGGAGGTCCACTCGTTGTGCAAAGACCTTTCAGAGAAAGGTTGACTAAATGGCCAAAGACATCAGCAAACGACCCTGTAGCATTAAGAGAGTTTGCAGATTTCCTTCAAGGTTGTGTGGAGGCCATTCCTCATGTTAAAGGCCTAGCTATTCTAAATGATTGTGAAGAAAACCTCAAGCTTCTCAAGAAATTGCCTGAATGGATCGTGCACAGATGGAGTCACATCATTGTGGATGAATTAGATAAGTCTCAAGAATACCCAACCTTTGCTCATTTCACAGAGTTCCTGCAAAAGGATGCCAAGATTGCATGCAACCCCATTTCCTCTCCCTTCCCTCTCAGTACCAAGACTACAGATGAGAGAATTCCCAAGAGAGCTAAGGCGCTCAACGCAAGAACTCAAATGAAACCCTCCACCTCCAGTACCCTGTGACGAATTGAACTTCGCCAGCCTCCTGCCCTGTGACTATGGCCCCTGGGGTGTATTGCCATTAAAAACCCTATTTGGGCGTATGGGGTTTTAATACACAGTTTCTGCCCCTTTAAATCCTATGGGAAAGGATCTGCACTTTTGAAATGGATGCAACCGAAGTAGTCGAAGTGACCACCATCCGACATACGAACACGTGGCGGTGGCCATTATAATTCAGTCGAACACGTTCAGCGGTGTTTGGTCATCGAGTTCATGGAACTTAAATCGGACACGCGACAGCATGAACACCGCTGAACTTTACCTTCTCCAGACAGCGACGCTTTGACTGGAGTCGAACGCTGTTCGACAATTCGAACCGCACTTTAACATTGACGGTTTGCACGAACGGTTGCCGTTCGTCTATTTGAACGGAAGTTAACATTGGTAATAGACCGGCCGCACAGTCTTATTCTCTGGAACTGTTTTGGGCATGAAAATGTGCATGCGGTCGGTCAAATGACTTCCACAAAACTTTTGAACCCCTGCTCTGATCTGGGTGATTATTGGGTATGTTGTTCACCCAGATCAGGGCTATCCAGGGATGTATAATTTATGGGCATATGTATGTGTTTTGGGTTGTTTCTGGACTTTGGGTAAAAATTTATATTTTCTGCCTGTGGATAATTAGGTTATTCCATTAGCTAGCTTAATTATGTCATAGGCAGAGGGGAAGGATTGTTGACTGCATGTGGGAGTGTTACTGTGTTAATTATTGCTCCCATTGGTTTGTGTCCCTTTTGTCCCTGTGTACCATCAGGTCCAGGGGGGTGTGCTTTGGCATTAAAATGTGTATTAAAGAAATGCCTTTGTGCTCATTAAACCAGACCTTCTTACCCTGAACTCTCAGCCTTGTCTCATGTTGTAGGGTACCTCTATATCACATTGGGGATTTCTATACTCTGTATACTCCCCTGGATCACTGCTAGCTCTTGTAAGAGCACTCTTCATCTACACAGCTATATTGTCCTGGAGGAGAGACCCAGCTATACTCTATTGGAGGGGAGACCTAGGGTGGGAAGGAGACGGCGAGATCCCAACCAAGCTACGGCGGTTCGTGGAGTCTGCAGTGCTTATGGTGTCTGGTGCGGTGCTGATTGCTCTTGAGAAGTGCTAGGAGCATCCGTCAGTGGAGGTATCCGTTACATGCCCCATAGATCTCAAGACCAAAGCCACCTTGCCCAGTCTGCAAGGATGAAACACACGATATCGCTAAATGTCTAACTTTTGCAGCAAAAAACATTGATGAAAAGAAGGCCTTCCTTTATGAAAACCATCTCTGCTTCAGTTGCTTAAGAAAGGGCCACACTACAAAATACTGCAAAGGAAAACACATGTGTAGCATATGTAGTTGACGTCATCCAACCTGTTTGCACATACAGAGAAACACTGAGCCTTTCAACACCAAATGATGATCCAGTAGCCACGGGAAATAAGGTAAACGACAACGTTCCCAAAGTTATGTTCCATACATTGACTTCTGACACATCCTGCATTGTTCCAGTTCTGTTGCCAGCTGCAGCTGAACCTCCGAGAGAAATCCTCACTTACGCCTTACTTTACACGCAGAGTGATTTAACCTTTGAGCACCAAGCAATTACAGCTAAAGCTCAGCACAATGACAGCTGTTTACACAGTTATATCAAGCCAAATTGCTCATGGTCTGCAAGTGCGTGGCCTCAACTCTAAGGTTTAAGTCCAACTCCGTCAAGCCAATACGAGAGATTTCATTCCAGTAGATAAGTCTCACTAAGGAGACTGCACTCTAGTGGTCACACCTCAAGCACTTGGCAAACAAGTTACAGCCACTTCAAGACTGTGAAGTTGGACTGGCTCCCTTGGAGGTCGTTACCGGCTCAGAAAATGAACCATTTGCTCAAAAAACTATGCTCGGCTGGAGCATTATAGCATCAGCAAATTCACATCTTGATAGACAGGGTAGCCAGAGCTTCATATACAGAGTCGTAGCAAAAGAAATGCCAATACCCCCAGTCACTGATGTGTTAAAGGCTTTAGAAATGGACTTCATTGAAAGAAATTATGAATACAAGTACGTGTCTCAAGATGATGTTTGCTTTGTGCAGTTTCTCTCTAAAACCATAATGAAAAAGAAAGATGGACAGTAGGAGATGCCGTTACCCTTCAAAGACAACAGTCAACCAAACAATAAGAGGCTGGCCATTTTTCAACTTCAACATATAAAGAAAAGGTTAAAGGCCAATAAACAGTACCATGAACACTACACTGCATTCATAGAAGAAACTATCAAAAAAGGCAATGCAGAACCAGCCCTTTCATTAGACAGGGGTTTATCACCCCAAGAAGCCAGACAAGTTAAGAGTCATCTTTGATTGTTCAGGAAAGTTCCAAGGCACCTCCCTGAACGACACCGTATTGACAGGTCCCGACCTGATAAATTCTCTAATGGGAGTTCTGTCTCTTCAGGAAGGAAGCAGTTGCTGTGATATGCAACATTGAAAAGATGTTCCATCAGTTGTACATCCCCCTAGAAATGCGTAATTACTTAAGGTTTCTTTGGTGGGAGAACGGTCAGTTGGAAACAGAACCCAAAGAATACAGAATGGCAGTTCACCTTTTTCGTTGCTAGTTCCTCTCCAGGATGTGCTAACTTTGGCCTTAATTATCTTGCATGACAATACAAGGCAGAATATCCCTCAGCATCAGCCTTCATTGAGAAGAACTTTTATGTTAACGACGGCCTAACCAGTGTTTCAACAGTCAGTGAAACTACAAATCTAATGCTCGAAGCGCAAGAGTTATCTAAAATTGCTGGCCTACGACTGCAAAAGTTCAAGTCTATTAAAAAGGACGTACTGTCTTGTATAGCTCCGTCAGAGCAAAAACTAGTGAACCTCTCAAACTTAACCCAGACTCAACATCAGAAGGACAAGTACTTGGCATTCAGTGGACAACTGAAATCAACCCTCAACTCGTCGTGGTATCCTGTCAGTCGTAGCCTCTCTTTATGATCCTCTAGGCTTCATATCTCCCTTAATACTGAGTGGCAAGTGCATTCTCCAAAAGCTTTGCCACAGGGGCATCAGTTGGGATGAAGCACTTTCTAAGAGTTTAAGCCCACGATGGGAGGCCTGGAAGAGTAGTCTGCAAGCTTTAAGGGAAATCAAGATACCCAGATGCTACCATCCTCCAGACTTCGGTAACACAGTGAAGGTGGAACTGCACCACTTTTCCAATGACAGAGGTCAAGTCCATTGCAGCTTCGTAATAGCTAACGCAAGAGTTGCACCGACGTAGAACATCACCAACCCAAGGCTTGAACTCTCAGCTGCAGTCACCACAGCAAGGTTGAGTGTCATGTTGAAGGCAGAACTCAAAATTGAAATTGATGAGGAATTCTTCTGGACAGACTCCCAGGTAGTTTTGGCCTACATCAATAATGAAGCAAGAAGATTTCATGTGTTAGTAACCAATCGTGTTCAACTCACAAGAGAGATTACAGACCCAACTCAGTGGCATTATGTGGATA